AGCCCGCCCCCTGGTGGGCTGAGCTGGCCACACACACACACACACACACACACACACACACACAAATAAATAAATAAAAATTAAGAAAAAAATTAAAAAAAAAATATTCAGAGAGTAGGTAATGGGCATAAAAATGATAGGACAAATAATTCAGTCAAAATTTTAAAAATTACTTAGCTAGTAAAGTTAAAAACAAATTAGAAAGATGAAAATAATTGTTTTTCTATTACTTTATAAATTGCATTTATAAAAAATAATTGTGAAAGCCAACTTCAATCACAGAAGAGAAATATGCTGTAGTTTATAGTATATGAGAACAAGTTATAGTAGTAAGAAAAATGATAAGAAATGGCAGCTATATTAAATGAACAGAACCTCCCTCCCTCCCTCCCTTCCTCTCTCCTTCTCTTTCTTTTCTTTCATCTTTTGAAACAGGGTTTCACATGCTGGGCCTAAACTCTCAACAATCCTCCTCCCTCAGCCTTCTGAGGGCTGGGACTACAGTGTGACCCACCGTTCCCAGCTGTTAAATGTACTTTAAACACTACAATAAAAGTCTTGGCTAGAGAATAACGGGACATAAAGAAACTAGGAAAGTAGAATATACTAATAAGAGAAAATGGGCTAAAATGCGAAACAGATGAAGATGCTGACCTTGGTGTACAGATCTAAAAGTTACCCTTTACCATAAGATTGACTTAGGATATAATGAAAGTTTCTAAAGAGTAATTCCTGGGCAGGCCCCTAAGAGTTTCCCCAGCTTTACTAGCAGATGTGTGAGCAAGGGGGCTTAACTCAGAGCAGGAAAAGCAGCTGATTCTTAGTTCCTCAGCTCTTCTGGGGATGCCTCAGTGCTGACTTCTATCCAGAAAGAAGCACAGAACATTCTTTTTTTTTTTTTTTTTTTGAAGGAAGGAAAGGTTTATTTAGCTCACAGTTACTGGAGGTTTCAGTCCATATTCAGCTGGGTCCAACGCAGAGCAGCACAGAGCAAAAAGCAACCTTTCATGGTGGTGGCAAAGAGCAAGAGCGCAAGGGAGGGGTAGCAGTAGCTCAAGCAGCTGGCTCCTCTTCCCACCTTACATTGTAATGCAGATTACCTGCCCCAGGGCAGGTGCAGCAACCACACCCACAGTAATCAATCACAAACTCCAGAAGCCACCCTAAGACTGCATGAGGCTTTGGGGGGGACACCTAGACACCATAACATTCCACCCTTGGACCCCCAAAGACTCATGCACAT